TCTCTCTCTCTCTCTCTCTCTCATGTGCCAGGTACTAACCTCTGAAGATGGCGCCGTGCTGCAGGTACCTCGAAGACGAAGCTGGAGCTATGGCGCTGCAGGTAAGTTTCCCTGGCCTCCGCCCAATCTCTCTCTCTCTCTCTCCAGTACTACTCTAGCTCCTACTAGCGCCCAGCGCTGAACACTACTGCTAACACTACTACTACTACTGCAGCACTCCTCCAGAGTGCTGCTGCCGAACCCTGAAGACTACCTCCTGCCTCCTGAACTGCACGTGAAGTGCCTGGGAAGTCCCTATGAACTGCCTGCAGCCTGCAGGGCGGGCCAGTCTTATATAGTGCTGGCCCGTCCAGGAGGCTGCTCTTGCCAATGCCAAAACGTGCCAGACCCTGGCGTTGAAGCTCAGACAAAGGTTGTCTTGAAAAAAGGCCCAAAATGGCCTGTGCTAAAACCCTGGTCTGGTGCCTAAGTTTCAGGGCAGGTCGATCTTATGAGGGCCTGAAAATGGCCCTCTGTTTCAGGCTGAAAAGACTCAGGGCCTGGAGGGCCCTGTTTTAGGCTGAAACGACACAGGGCCTGTGGGCCCTTATTTTCAGGCTTTCAGGCTGAAACGACACAGGGCATGTAGGCCCTTGTTTTCAGGCTTTTAGGCTGAAATGACACAGGGCCTGTAGGCCCTTGTTTTCAGGCTTTTAGGCTGAAAACAACACAGGGCCTGAAAATGGCCCTCGTTTCAGGCACAGCATGTTGCAGGCGCAGCATGTAACACCCCCCCCTCCTTATGAAGTCAAGCCGGGTCGAGGGCGAAGCTGACGATCTGAAGGTGGAACCTGGACGTGGGTGCGACGTGGAGCCGAAGATACCGGCTTGCCTTGCATCTTGCATTCGTAGCCTGCGAGAACATCTAGAGCTGTTGCTTGGAGTTCCGCACCGGTCAACCAACGGTCAGCTTTGTGGGTGTAGTACGCAAAGTGTACCAAGTATTCGGTCGGCCTGTTGCCGTAGCTGCGGTAAATGCAGCCTTTCGGCAGCACGGCACCGGCCTCAAGAATGATCTCGTGAGAGATCGGCCGATCCGGCACCACACCGGTAGGTGAATCGAAGATGTCGGTGAACTCGTCAAGCAACTGCACCACACGGGGGTCTGAACACAAGTCCGTGGGGGAAGAATCGGCTACCGCGACGGTCGATAGGAAGCATAGGCCTATCTCGTCGGGCTGCTCGTAAGCGCAAGTAGCCCGGAACGACTTGGCCGTCACCACTTGGCACCGGATCGAAGGGTGCGAAAGAGGAATAGTACATGGCACTTCGGCACCGAAGGCGTCCCGAACGGTAAGAGTCCGTCGGTGGAAGTTGACCGTGTGATCCGCACTTGCAAGCCAAGGCATTCCCAAAATGATATCGAAGTCCGTGCCCAAAATGTTGAACGTCACCGGTTCGCATGCATGAGGGGCGAAGTAGACCGGTACGGCCTCGATGTAACGGTCGATAAGTTGTTGCGTCCTTCCGTCCGCCAACTTGATCGCCGTCGGGTTTGCCTTCCTCCGAACTTGTGCGCCTTGGCCAGCCCTTTGCATAAAGGCTTGGCTCATGAAATTGCGAGTCGCTCCGCTATCCAGCAAAGCGCTGCAGGACGCTTGCCCAACTTGGATGCGGACATAGAGGAACGGTGCATTGTTGTCATCGTACCGCTGCTTGCGAAACTCGCGCGCCACCTTGGTAACATACGCAAGGATGTCTCCCAGTGCAACTTCATCATCCGTCGACGAAGTTGGTGGTGCATAGAAGGATAGATACGTGTGGAGATGAGCGCATAATGCTGCGCATTGCGATCGCGGCAAGTGGCCCGTGGTCGGGAGAGGAAGCCATGCGAAATCCTCCGACGTGAGCAGGTCCAAGACCTCTATGTTGAACTCGCGCGCCGAATCTCGTGAAGAACCACTTGAAGACGATAAGTCGCCGCTGCCGGACGGAGAAGATGCCGCACACACGTCTTGTCCTTGAGCATGAGTACCCAGCATAGGAATGAGCCGGGCAGCATAGTCCTCATAAGAATATATAGAAGAGGAGGACTATCGACTTCTGCATGTGCCTTACAACGAACAACGGTCACCCGCGAAGCGACCGGTTCCAAAGACGTGAAAGATATCATCGATTCACTCCCAACGATACTCAGTTTCCCGATTTGCCTTTGCCTTTCGACGGGCAGCCCCCTGTGTCGTGGAGATCGCTGTTACACCACAGACAATAGCGGAATCTTGTGCGTTACTTGTATGCTTGCTCTGAGTGGCCGTAGTGGGTCCATGGGGCTGGAGCTGCTGCGTCGGGCCCAGGGATCGATGTGGTGTTTCTCTTCGGCTTGCCGCGTCCTCGGCTTCTGCCGGGGTGGCCACCATCCCGGGCGGCTGCAAGTCTGTCCCCTTCATTGGCAGACACGACCTCGCTAGGTTGGTCGGTTGGCGTTGCCACTGCGACCACGACCACTTTCGGTCGTTGCTGATCTCTGCTCGGGCCTATTGCAGACGAACGGTTGAGGTTCTTGACCTCCTTGTTCATGACAATGATCTGCACGGCCTTGTCAAAAAGCTCCGCTGTTGTCATCAGGGTGCCCTCGACGTGAGTCAAGGCGTTGCCCAACGTCGGACACGACCTAGTGATGAAGTAGTGTTTGACGGCCTTGAAGCCCCTCTGAATGCCTGGGACGGATGTCAAGCGTTGGTACTCGACAATCCAGTCAACACTCGACAATGTGCCTTGTTCGAACGTCAGCAATTTGTCCATTGCCTTGATCTCCGGCGGCTCTACTTGGAACTGCTTATGCCACGTCGCCTTTAGATCATCCTAGCTGATCTTGGTGTACAAGTCAGCAGCTACCACCCCATACTTGGACAAGAGATTGTCCAACCATGCTTGGCACGCGCCCCCCTACCGGGAGTACAAGTACGCGTGTTTCTTGTCCTCGCTGACGTGGTGTAGCTGCAACTTGAGCTCAAACTTGTGGAACCACGGGATCGAGTCCGTCTTCGTCGAATCGCAGAAGATCTCCTGACCATCGAACTTCGGAGTTGTCTCACGTGGTGCCGATCTCGGGTTGGCGGCAGCAGCACGAAACCGCTGCTTCAGTTGTTGTGTGGCGGTTTGCTGTAACTGTGCGCCGTCCTTGAGGGCTCCGATGTCGATCTCCAAAGTATCGAGGCGAGCGGAGGTGTTGGAGGAGCCGGCCACGGGGCGGCGACGGGTCGTTGCTCCAACTGTTGGAGGGGGTTGTTGACTTGATCAAACACTTGGTTGTGCATCTGAACCGCGTCGTCGAGGATGTGGATGTCCTCCTTATGTGCAATGCACGTTGCCAGGAAATCCGTGAAATGGGAGAGGAGTAGAGCGATCTTGCTTTCACTCTCTTCCATCCTACCATTCTCGACCTCGGCTCGGCAGTCCGCTGCCATTGTGAGCAAAGCTCGCTCTCCATTGAATATCTTCTCGCGTCATTGATTCCGTTCTTCATCAGCAGCCTTTGCTGCTGCCTCGTCTTGCTGGCGCTGCTGTTCGATTGCCAACAGACGTGCCTTCTCGGCATCCTCTGCCTTCTTCTTCTCTGCGGCTGCTACCTCATCCGCCCGTCTCAACGCCAGCATCCGGGCCTGATAGGCCTCAACCGTTTCCCCGGACTTCTGATCCATGCCGGCTGTTTGTAAGCGCGTGAGCATAGACCAGGCCGAAGGACTGCTGACATGGCACTCCCTGCTGCTGACATGGCACTACTCGGCTGCTGACGTGGTGCAGCTGTAGGCTGACGTGTCCTGCTGACGTGGTCTGCTGACGTGGTCTGCTGACGTGGCCTGCTGACGTGGCCTGCTGACGTGGCCTGCTGACGTGGCAACTCACCAATGCCGCTGCAGGGGGTACCCGAAGACAGAGTGCAAGAGGGATTTCCCGTACCATTTTTCAAAAACGAATTTTGGAAATTAAAAAAAAATTATATATATATATATATTCCTGATTTCCAAATAACGGAAATCGCAAAAGGAAATCGAAATTTTCGAAAGAAAGATATTCCGGATTTCCAACAACGAAATTTTGAATTTTTAGAACAGAAATCAAAACGGAAATTTCAGGTGTTGCGCTATTGCAATTTTCCACAACCGAAATAGCGGGAAAACAAAATCCAAGAAAAGAAAATTTTTTGATTTTCGGCAGTTAGGTCAAAATCATGATTTTGGGGGCTAATTAGTGTGCTCTAATCAATCAATCAATCAATCAATCAAGACTAATCAACTAATTAGTCCCCGCACACGTGTCAGATCAGGTTGTCCTGATTCACGTGCGGTGCACTGATACCAACTGTTACATGCCCAGTTGGGCGATGTATATATAGCCAAGGATCCGCAATGTGATAAAAAGGACTGAATGGACAATGTGATGTTAGTGGAATCTCAACAAGCAATGTACATCCTGATACATACAAAATGGCACCTTGTAGCGCAATGGAAGACTTAGATATAAGCCCTGACCTGACCGGGACTGACCTCTCTCACGTAGTACCAGACAGCGTAGCGGAATACTACCAAGGACTAGCCCAATCAACGTCGCAATCCAGACCAAACATACATCATCCTCATCATAAGGTGTGAAGGGGCCTGGCGCTACACACGGGAAGAATG